CTGGGTTTCGATGGAAGTCCTTTTATGAGGGCGCGTGCCCGGACGCCTCCGGTGTTCGTTGTGTGTGAGGAGCCCTATGATTTATTCCGGTTTCTTATAGACTTCTTTCGGATTCCTTCAGAATGGGGGTTCTATTGAGCTCCTGCGGATTTTTCTATGGAATGATAACGATCCCTATGGACTTCCGATGGGAATCCTTCGGAATCCTAAGGGAATATGTTGGATTCCTATAGAATCACCGAGGGGTTTTATTCAATTCTTCTGGATCCCCATGGACTTGATTGATTCCTATGGAATTTTCAAGGGGTGTTACAGAATTCGTTTAGATTTCTATGGAATCATTTGGTTTATTATAGAATTTCCTTCGGATGCCAATGGAATGCTTTAGGTTTCCTATGGATTTCCTTACGATGATAAAATTACGAAAGATTCCTATGGAATTTCTTTGGACTCCTATGGGTTGCCTTGCGATTCCTACGGAGTTCCTAAGGTTTCCGATGGAATGCCGCAGGATTCCGACGGGATACCTTAGAATTCCTTTTTGGATATGTGTTTGATTATTGTGGGATGCCTTACGATTCTTTTGGAATTACTTGGAATTCCTATGGCCGATGGAAGCCCTTTGGATTCATCCCGAATTCCTAAGGATCCCCATGGGCTTCCTGACAATTCCTATGGAATACCTATGGAATTTCTTCGGGGTCCCATGGAAGTCCTTCGGATTCCTACATCAAGAGAGCACCGTGAAGCCGACAAGCACTTGCCTGGACGCCTCGTGCGTTCGGGTGCGAGCCCAGACGCCCCTGGCTTTCTGCCTGGACGCCCCCGGCGTTACCCACTACTGCTACTGATATTACTAGTTTTACTACAACTATTATTATTACTACTACTACTACTGCTACTACTACTACTGCTACTACGACCACTACTACTACTACTACTACTACTACTACTACTACTACTACTACTACTACTACTACTACTAGTACTACTACTACTACTACTACTACTACTACTACTACTACTACTACTACTACTACTCCCACGACTACGAGTATGATTGCTATTACTCTTTATTACTACTACGACTACACTACTACTACTACTACTACTACTACTACTACTACTACTATACTACTACTACTACTACTACTACTACTAACTACTACTACTACTACTACTACTACGACTACTACTACTACTACGACTACTACTACTACTACTACTACTACTACTACTACTACTACTACGACTACTACTACTACTACTACTATTACTACTACTACTACGACTGCAACTACAACTGCGACTACGACTACGACTACTACTACTACTACTACTACTACTACCACTACTACTACTATTACTACTACAACTACTACAACTACTACTACTACTACTACTACGACTACGACTACGACTACGACTACGACTACGACTACTACTACTACTACTGCTACTACTACGACTACCACTACTACTACTACTACTGCTACTACTACTACTACTACCACTACTAATTACTGTACTACTATCACTACTATCACTACTACTACTACTACTACTACTACTACTACTACTAGCACTACTGCTACTACTACTACTACTACGACTACTACCACCATTTACTACCATTATTACTACTACTCTTACTACTACTACTACTACTACCACTACTACTACTACGACTACTACTACTACTACTTTTACTACTACTACTAGTACTACTACTACTACTACTACTACTACGACTACTACCACTACTACTCCTACGACCATGAATACGATCATTACTAGTATCACTACTACTATTACTTCTTCTGCTTTAAGTATTACTACTACTGCTGCTACTACGACTAGGACTACTACTAAAACTACGACTACGACTACTACTACTATTACCACTACTACGACTACAAGTACTATTACGAATATGATTGCTACTACTACTAGAACTGTTAGTACGACGCTACTTCGACTACATCTACTACCACAACTACTACTACCACAACTACTACGATGATTACTACTACTACTACTACTACTACTACTACTACTACTACTACTACTACGACTACGACCACCATTACGACTACTACTAGTAGTACGATTATTTGTACGACTATTACGGATATTATGTCTATTACTACTCCTTCTACGAGTATCTCCTTTTCTACACTACTACTACGACGACTACTACTACCACTACTGTGACTAATAATACTGCTACTGCTAGTACTTTTGTCGAGACTACTACTACTAGCATTACTATTACGACTACGACTACGACTACGACGACGAGTTCTATGCTTTGCAGTCGTAGTAGCACCTTTAGTATTACGACTACGACAATTACGACCACGACTACTACTACTTCTACTACGACAACTACTACCATTACTACTACTACTACTACTACTACTACTATTACTACTACTACTACTACTACTACTACTACTGCTACTACTACTATTACGACGACTACTACTACTACTACTACTACTACTACTACTACTACTACTACTATTACTATTACGATTACGATTCCCACTGTTACGAATCTGCTTTATTGATATTACCACGACCACTACCACTACTACTACTACTACTACTACTACTACTACTACTACTACGATTACGGCTAGCATTACTACTTTTACTACTACTACGACTACGATTACTATTACTACTACCACTACTACTACTACTACTACTACTACGACTACTACTACGGCTACTAGTATTACGACCACTACTACTATTACGATGAAGACCACTGCGACTACTACTACTACAACTACTATTACTACTACTTCGATTTCTATTACTATGTTTGTTATGCCTAATTCCTGTACTACTGCTATTGATAGCACGACGACCGTTATTTCGTTGTTTGTTCTTACTAACACTGCGACTACTAATATGACGCCGACGCCTACGGTTACGACTTCTACTTCTACGATTGCCACCACGATTCTTCATTTTACTATTATTACTACCTCGATTACTTGTGCTACGGGACTCGTACTAATACTACTACTCCTACTACTACTTCGGTATTAATACTATTAGTATTACCACTATTACAAAATAGTATTACTAGTACTACTACTACTACTACTACTACGAGTACTACGACTACTACTGTTACTTCTACTACCACGATCATTAGTATTACTATTACTACTACTACTACTACTACTACTACTACGATTACGACTACTACTACTACTACAACTACTACTACTCGAACTGCGATGAACATTCCTACTGCTGCTGCTACGACTACGACTACTATTACTACTACTACTACTACTACTACTACTACTACTACTACTATTACTACCTCTACTACGGCTTCTACTATTCTTATTAGTGCTACTACTACTACCACTACTACTACTACTCCGACTACGTTTTCAACTACAACTACTGCGACGACTATTACTCCAACTACGACTACTACGACTACAAATACTGCTACTATTACTACGACTACGACTACGACTACTACTGTTGCTACTACTACTACTACTACTACTACTACTACAGGTACTAAACATACGACTACTACTAATACTACTACTACTACTACTACTACTACTACCACTACTACTACTACTACCGCTACTACTACCACTACTCCTACTACTACTACTACTACTACTACTTCTACTCTTACTCTTACTCTTACTCTTACTACCACTATTATTACTACTACTACTCCTACTACGATTACTACGACTACTACTAGTACTAGTACTACTACTTCTACTACTACTACTACTACTACTACTACGACTACTACTATTACTTATACTACTACTACTACTACTACTACTACTACTACTACTACCACCACCACTACTACTACTACTACTACTACTACTAACTATTACTACTACTACTAACTACTACTACTACTACTACTACTATTACGACTACGACTACGACTACGACTGCTACTACTACTACTACTACTACTACTACTACTACTATTACTATTACCACTACTACTACTACTACTATTACTACTACTACTACTACTACTACGACTACTACTACTACGAATGCTTCCACAACGACTATTATTACTAATACGACTACTACTCTTAGTACTAGGACTAATATTATTACTACGACTACGACTACGATTTCTACAAATACGATTATGATTAGTACTACGATTATTTCTGCTTCGACGACTACTACTACTACTACTACTACTACTACTACTACTATTACTACCACTACCACTACTACTACGACTACGACTACGATTACTACTATTCCTACTACTACTGCTACTACTACTACTACTACTACTACTACTACTACGACTACTACTACTACTACTACTACTACTACGACTACTATTACTACTACTACGACTACGAATACGAATACGAATACTACTACTACTACTACTACTACTACTACTACTACTACTACTACGACTACTACGACTACGACTACGACAACGACTACAAGTACAACTACGACTACAAGTACAACTACTACTACTACTACTACTACTACTACTACTACTACTGATACTACTGTTACTACTACTCCGGTTACTGCTACTACTTCTACTACTACTACTACTACTACTACTACTACTACTACTACTACTACCACTCTTTCGACGGCGGCGACGATGACGAAGACGACTGCTACGACTACGACTAACATCACGAGTACGATTTCGACTACGACAAAGACGACGGGTACATCACAAACCACGACTACTACCCCCCCGCCGCCCCTTCCACCCCGTTCCTCCTCCAGTACTCCTCCCCATCCTCCCTTGCCCTCGCCTCCCCTCCCATCCTCCCCACGCCCTTCCCCCACCTCCCGGGCGCCGAATGGCCCTCCCTCCGACCGCCCTCCGTCCTCTCTTTGGCCCCAGCAGCCTTCACGGGAAGCGCCAATCGACCGTGGGCCTCGCCAGCGCGCCCGCCCCGTCCACGCTTTGGGGATAGACGGCCCCGACCGAGGCCCGAAAGAACGAGGAGGAGGCTCTGAAGAAGCGCATCAAGGAGCCCGCGGGCAGTCTGGCCGGCCACTTCTGCGGGCCACTGGCGGGGCCGCGAGTGGCCGGATTTTCCAGAGGCCAAAATTCAATGAACATTGAGGAGGGCGAGGGAGGAGGAGCAGGATGGGAGGAAAACGAGGAAGGCAGATCTCAACGCTGTGGCAGTACACCGTCCCGCCCCAGGCGAAGCGGCCCTTTGAAAGACGATCATCCCAAAGGCCAACAATGCACATGCGGAAGCTCCGCGTTGAGAAGGGGTCGTCCTACATCCATCGAGCAGTAAAGGGATGCGACAAGGTGGCGCCACGAGCTCAGGAAGCATCCGGCGACGGCCCCTCGCTGAAGAGGCACAACCCTGCCGCCGTGCAGCTGAAGCTGGCAATCCAGCGACGGCCCCCAGCTTGCAGGTGAACCGACCTTCATGCGTGTAGCATGTGTGCTGGATGTTGTGGGGGGGCTGGGTGTGTGCGCGGCCCGCCTAGCTCTTAACCGGAAGAGGCTCGCTCTCGACCCGCAAAAAAAATGTATGTTGGATGTTGCCGACGACGTCTCAGGCGAGAACCCAAGTCTGAAAACGGACCACCTTGCATCTTTGTAAGTGGTGGAAAGTGTAAGTTATAGTATCCGCAAGGGCTTCGCCCCCTGCCTCCGGCCCCCTCTCTACCAGAAGGGGATATATCAGAGTCGCGCAGATGCGTCTCGGCGCTGCCTTGGCGCACTTGGGAACGTCAAGGGGGGCGGACAGGAAGCATTAGCACATGTTGAGACGTTAGCGATATCGAAGACGCCTACGGCGAATTGAGGAAAAACGTGCCTTTCGGATTGGATATGTCCCCTGCTCTCGGCTTCAAGCCCATTATATACTCTTTTCCCCCGTCCTCTCTCCCTCTTATCTCTCTCCCATTGCTGCCGGCTCGGTTCGAGCCGGCTTGAGGCGAATTGGTTCCTGGTAGCAGGACTGGAAAAGGGGGTTCGCTCTCACCTCGAGCCCTGCGGGCTCCGCCGCCGACCCCCGCTGCGGGATCGGGAGGTCAAGAGGGGGCCCAACCCGGCTCCGCAGTGGTAGCGGAGCCCGCCGCTGCGCGGGCGCCATCGGCCGAGGGCGAGAACAGATCTACGTGGAGAGTTTGGTACGGAGTGCGTGCTGGACCCAGAACGTGAACTACCTGGACGTGTACACGGAGTGCAACGACGACGGGCGATGCGGCAGGCATCGGCCCCAGAGCGCTATCCGGCGATGGGCGGCGGCACGCTCTCGCCAGATGCGTTTCCTCCGCGGCCGAGCGGAGGCAGAGGACCATCATGGATTCAGCGCTCCTCGACGAGTTGGATGGCAGCGCCAGCGTGGACCAGCCGCGACCTCGAGGGCATACCCAGCTGGGACGGCAGCCCTTCGCGATGGAGGAGATACAAGAAGGACGTGGCGCTGTGGATCGAAGGCATCAACCTGGACGTGAGTTGGAGCTGGGCAGCCCGGATGGTGCGTTGTCTGACGGGCCCGGCGAGGACGCTCGGCGAGCCCATCCCGATGGTGGAGCTGCGGCCCAAGCAGTGGATCCCCGAGGAGGTGAGTACAGAGGCGGCTGCTGAAGCAGCCGAGAGCGGGGATCACGACGAAGAGGAGCGTGGCCACTGGCAGGAACCCGACCTGATGGCGGGCATCAACCGCTTAATGGAAGTGTTGGCGACGATGGGGGTGGACGAGCCGACGCGAAGGGGCCAGGTGATGAACTACTTCTACAAGCAGTTGCATCGCAGGGCCGGCGAGGATCTGAACTCGTGGATGATCAGGTTCGGCGAGGCTCGCAGCCAGTTGGACGAAGAAGACGTGGCCTTACTGGCGAGAACAGCGGGCTGGTGGTTCATCGAGAAGACCGGCTTGAACGAGACGCAGAAGAGTATGTTGATGACCTCGACCGGCGGAAGCATGGAGATTCGCGAGGCGGTCCCAGCCATGATGCGAGTGTTCCCCAACCTGCACGTCACGGAGCGACGACCTCTCGCGTTCGACCGCAGCAGGAGGCCGATCACCTTCAACCGCCCAGGGACACAGCTCTTGAAGAAGAAGGTGATTCGGAAGTTCAAGGAGGCACACTTGACGGAGGACCTCGACGGGCTCAGTCAGCTAGACGAGGGCGAGCTCGAAGCGCTGAATGCGGAGCTCGGCAGCTTCGACGGCGACGCCGACGACGAGACGATCGACGAGGCACTGGCGACGGGGCAGGACTACGACATCGAGGGCATCCTCGCCGCGGAGCTGGAGGCGCTCTCGACGGTGCTCGAGGAGGCCGAGAACGACCCAGAGTTGGCCCAGGAGCTCGGGAACTTAGAGAGCGGTGTGGAATCGATGATGGAGGGCCTCATCACGGCGCGCGAGAGCAAGAAGCGCGTGAAGGAGCTTCGGAAGGACCGCAAATTTGGCGGCAAGGGCGGTGGCAGAGGCTCAGGCTCAAGCTCGAGCAGCGGCAAGAAGTTCATGGCGAGCTTAGGCAAGAGCAGCCCCGACAAGAAGAACTCGGACTGCCACGCCTGCGGCGAGAAGGGCCACTGGGCCGGCGATGCGCGCTGCCCGAAGATCAAGGAGTGGAAGGCGCTGAGCAGGCCAAGAAGAAGCTGCAGCAGCGGTTCAAGCCGAAGGACGCGACGGTGGTGGACCTGCTGCAGACGCCCGAGATTCGGCTGGACGCACAGATGATAGAGATTCAGAAAGACGTGTTCGAGGTGCTGATGACCAGCAATTGCGAGCACGAGCAAGGCGAGACGCCTGTGTTCGTGGCGACGGCGATGAAGGAGACGGACGACAAGCGCAGTCACCTGGACTACCCGCCCTTCTGCCCGGACTGCGTCTACGAAGGAGACGACCGCGATGTCCGGCGCTCGATGCGCGGGCGGGACTACACGGAGATTTACGAGGGCGCCGGCCAGCAGGCAGCAGAGGATGACGTCTTGGCGAGCACGACTCGTTCGTACGAAGACCTGATGGCGACGCAAGTCCTTGGCATGGGGAGTGGTGCCCCCTCTTCTTCCGTTGGCGGAGGGCCGGCAGATGGGCCAGTTCCTGGGATGGGGAGTGGTGCCCCCTCTTCTTCCGTCGACCGTAGCGCAGGGTCGGCGGATGGCCCAGGTCTTGGCGCTGGGCTGCGCCCCCATTCTTCTGCCGGCCCGATGCCCTCGGATGGGTCAAGGGACGAGCGAGCCATTCAGGAGGCGTTGCTCTCGTCAGCGTCCATCGGGGGCCAAGGAGACGACGGCGCGCTCGACTCAGCCTGCAACAGCACGGCGTCGGGCGACTCGTACGCCAATAGACTCGAGGATCGGCGCAAGGAGCTGGGCATCGAGAACTACATCAAGAAGGAGCCGCAGCTCGCGATCTTCCGCTTCGGGAACGGCCAGAAGCAGATCTCCAAGGAGCGCTGGACGGTGCCGGCGTCGGTCTTCGGCGTGGACGCCTACCTGACCTACTCGGTCATCGAGGACTCGGCGCTGCAGTTGCTCATCGGGAAGGACGCTCTGCGAGGCATGGGCGCAGACATCGACTTCGCGGAGGATTCGTTCAAGTCGGACCGGCTCGGCATCACACCGAAGCGGCTGAACGAGACCGACGGTGGGCACTACTCGACGCCGATTTTCCCGCGTGGGATCTGGAAGCCCCCCTCGGGGATTCCGACAGCGGAGGCGGTCTTCCGCGCCAAGTCCAAGGTGCGAGAAGCGCTGACGACGGCGAAGTCTGAGTTGGCTGCCCGTGCGGCAGACCGGCGGGCCACGGAAGTCGAGGACGTGGTACCTGTACCCGAGGGTGAGGACGACTGGAACATGCCCGATGGCGAGGTCGACGTCTCTGGCCTCGAGACGTGGGAGCGTCAGGACTACAACGCGAGGGCGCTCAAGCCCTCGAACCGCGACGGGCCGAACTGGAAGTTGGCGCGGGCCCGAGAGACGTTCTGCATGGACACGGGCGACATCATCGAGGACCTGCGCTGGATCGAGGGGCTATCTAACGAGGAGATGTTCGAGCAGCTCGACCCGCCGAGGAAGGCGGTCACCCGGAACTACTGGGAGCCGGAACCAGAGAGGCCAAGGCCGACCGCATCCGAAGGCCGGCCGCTACTTTGCGATCGAGATCAGCTCCTACGAGTCCCCCGGGATGCGCTGGAGGACATGGCGACAGTGCTGGAGATTCCGCGGGCGGAGCATTTGAGCGTCAAGGTGCTGGTTGATCGACTGATGGGGCATGGCGCGAAGCAGAGGAGGAGGACCCCTCAGGAGGAAGGCGAGGCGCCCGTGAGCGTGGGCGCGTCGCCTGGAGCCTCAGGCTCCGCCGGGCCAGCGGGCAGCCCGGCCCCTGGGACACCGAGCTCGGCACTATCCAACGGGGCCAGGAGGCGCATGCGGGTGCTTCCGGCTCTAGGACTCAAGAACAAGGCCGAGCTGGTGGATTACGCGCGCCATCACGAGGTGCCGACGGACGGCAACCCAGAGCTGATGACGATGCCTGCGCTGAAGGACGCGGCCTACGCGTACGACGAGGTGCTGTTCGTGCGGGCTCGCATGGGTCCGAGAGGCCCAGCGGTTGGCAGCGCGGGGGTTTGCCCACCGCCTTTCGACCCTCGAGCTCGACCCGCTGCTCGGGGACCTTCGGCACTATCGAGGTGGCTGTTCGGCACGGCGATGCTGGGAATGTGCATGCCGGTAAAGGTTACGAAGGAGGTGAACTTCACGGACCGGGTCGACCTGAACCCGAAGGTGGAGACGATGAAGAACGGCACCAGGACCCCGGTGAAGGACCAGCTGTACTCCCTGCAGCGCGACCTGGCGACGGTGGACGTCAAGCTCGACGCCTACCTGAAGGAGTTCGGGCCCTCTTTCGGTTCATGGGAGGCCGAGCGCGAGGCGGCGATCAGCGAGAGGACCGAGACGCAGCCATGGATCACGGAGGTGTTCACGACGAAGGAGGCGGTGCGCAAGGAGGCGGCCAGGCTGGGGCCCCCGACGATGCGGAGCTAC